CTAAAGACATGAATTATTTTGTAAAATTTTATGTATAATGATGTCTTCCACAAATTTATCAAATTGCTCAGGTTTCTAGTATTTATTAAGGCTTGAGCTAATACTGAAAGCTTTTCTGTGTTCACTTCATTATGGTTTTGCCACTGTTATGAATTCTCTGGTGCACAGTGAGTTGTGACTTCTGTATGAAGGCTTTTCCACATGTAGCACACTGATAGGGTCTTTCCCCAGTATGAATTCTCTGATGTAAAACAAGGTCTGACTTTTGAGAAAAGGCCTTTCCACATTCAGCGCACATGTAAGGCTTCTCTCCTGTATGAATTCGCTGATGTCCTGGGAGGTGGGACTTCTGAGAGAAGGCTTTCCCACATTCAGTACATATATAAGGTTTTTCTCCTGTGTGAACTCTCTGATGTCCAATGAGATGTGATTTCTGACAGAAGGCCTTTCCACATTCATTGCATTGGTAGGGTTTCTCTCCAGTATGTGTTCTCTGATGTATGATGAGCTGTGACTTCCGGGAGAAGGTCTTCCCACATTCGGTACATTCATAAGGTTTCTCCCCAGTATGAAGTAACTGGTGTGTGATGAGTTCTGTCTTACTGCTGAAGGCTTCTGTACATTGAGCACATTTGTAGGGTTTCTCTCCAGTGTGAATTCTTTTATGTATAATGAGGTGGGACTTCTCACAGAAGGCTTTTCCACATTCAGTACACTCATATGGCTTCTCTCCAGTATGAGTTCTATGATGTATAATCAGTTGTGACTTCTGGGAGAAGGCCTTACCACACTCTCTGCATTCATAAGGTTTCTCTCCAGTGTGGATTCTCTGATGTATAATGAGGGGTGATTTCTGGGAGAAGGCTTTCCCACAGTCACTACATTCATAAGGTTTTTCCCCAGTATGGACTCTCTGATGTATAATGAGAGATGATTTTTGAGAGAAGGCTTTTCCACATTCAGAACATTCATAAGGTTTCTCCCCTGTATGAGTTCTCTGATGTACAATGAGATGAAACTTCTCACTGAACCCTTTCCCACATGCACCACAATCATATGGTTTCTTTCCAGTATGGATTCGTTGATGTACAATAAGCTGTAACTTCTTAGCAAAGCCTTTTCCACATGTAATACATACACAAGTTTTCTCTTTAGTTTCAACATTCTTATAATGAAGAAGAGATTGTCTAGTTAAAATGTTTTTACCATCACAGGGTATTACTCCATTTTGAATTTCCTCAAGATTAGAATTGGACACATTGTGGCTAGATGATTTTTCACATCCAAATCTCTCATCAGGATGTTTTCTTGAACCAATCTCATTACAACTAGATGGGTCAATACTAGATTTCAAGTACTTTTTAAATTCATCATAGTTATGGGGTCTTTGTCTTGAAGTATCTGGCTCTATGAATGCTTGAAACACTTTCCCCAATGCCTTATATTTATGGCCTGCCTCCACAGTCACTCTGTTATTACTGATAACTGTTACTTGACTGAAAAGTCTGTCTTGATTTTGTGGACATCTCTGCAGCTGGCCATCAACATGACATACTTTTAAAATGGAGTACAATGAACCACCCTTTGTGACTCCTTTCAGTGTCTTATTATGGAAGGAAAAAGACCCAAAAATACATGATTTGGGGTTTTCAAGGTTACTCTTCCTGTCTAAAGAAAAGAAAGATAAATAAAACAATCATGAAGAACAGTTAACAGAACACAGAGGTGTGAAACAAATAATTGATCTAATGTAGATGAACTCAGAAAACAAGGGTGGAGACAGGCCATTTTGTAAGATAGTACAGCATATAGTATGATCAGGTGAATGGACATACAAATATCTCAAAGAGAAATATTCATGGCAAAGATAGACTTGAAGAAGATAGAAAAGTGTTCATGTTATTATCACTCTAATCTTGGATTACTATAATAGCATCTTCCCATTTACACTGCCTTCTTAATGAAAACAACTTTTGCCTTTTTAGTTCATTTATTTTAGAAACCATTTGAGATATGTATACACACACACACACACACACACACACACACACACACACTATTGTCCTGCCACCACTATCTAAAGAAATAAGTACTCTCTGGTACTCAAAATACTTTACTTCTCTGTCTACACTCCTAATTAACAAATAATATAAACAACAGAATAATCCATGATCCTCTTATGGATTCAACATCAGATTCACACCAAGAACCCAAACTTGAATTCCACGATTCCTCATAAATATCTTTCCCACATTCAGTACATTTATCTTCAATAGCATCAAATAAAACTAGCAAAGTTCACCCAGAAGAGCCATACTTCCCTAACTCATATACTCCCTCCCCACAACCACACTACAGCAGTTTGACTTCATCTTCCTCCTTTGGCATCATCAATACTTGATATCTTTCAAAGCAGCTACTGCTGCATACTCTAAAAATACCTTCTCAAATTCTGTTGCATCTCTTTAGACTCTCATTTTCTCTGAACTTTTAAAATTGGAAACTATATTTGATATTTAATTATGTATAGCCATGCACCTGGAAGTCTTACCTTCTAAAGTATAACCTATGTATCTTGTATAGCCTATTAAGATTTTTCATAAAAGGCATTTATATATATATATATGAAAGAGTGGGGATCAGTAAGAAATAGCTCCCCTTGTAAAGACATAATTATTTAATTGATTATTAGTTGAATGCCTACTAAATTCTCAGCGCAGCAGCAAAGAGTAAGAGATTTCAATAAGGATAGAAACATAAGCCTTGGGCACCAGTCTGTTAAATAAAATAAACAAACAAACTGATATTTCACTTCTCTTGTCTCCCATCTGCCAGATTTTTACCTGGATAAATCCAATTTGATATGTCTCTCTTAATGATCCATGGATCTTCTCCTTGTTCCAACTTGGAGATTACATCGGGTTTGGAGACTGGATGCCCTATTAAATGGAAAACACAGAGGAACTGGGATACACTGTATTGAAGGAAGAAGAGAGGGTACCGTTCACGTGTACAATGAAGCAGTCCAGGTAGCCCTCAACAGGGTAATGACCTCCATTTGGGAAGGTATGAGGATCATAAAAGTTATTATATGTCAGGAACCACCTAACCACAGCAACTGATAAGGAAAGGTATTGGATTGTACAAGTCTGAGTTATGCAGAAAGCCATCCTTACCCATTGAGACCAGATGGCTGTAGTTCTCCAGCATCACATCCCTATACAGGGTCCTCTGAGCAGGGTCCAGTTGCTGCCACTCCTCCTGAGTGAAATCCACAGCCACATCCTTGAATGATACTAAGCCCTGTAACAGTATATTCCTGTTCAATCTGAAGCGGTCATTCTTATTTCTACTAGAGCATGCAATACCATAGCTACACTTGATTTTATATCATGTTATCTAGGATAAACAACGTAATATACTGTCATTAGCTGGAAGGGCCAGATAGACCTGGAAAACAGAAGAGGCAAATAATAAAATGTCTACCTAATACAAATGATAATTTGATATATGATAAGGGCAGCATTCAAATAACTGGGAGGAAAGTGGATTATTCAATGGATAGTAGTAAAAATAGTGGATAGTCAACAGGTAAAGAACAATGCTGAATCCAGGTTAAATTGTCTCCCCTGAAAACTCGTATGTGGGAATCCGAACTCCCAGTGCCTCAGAATGTTTCCTTATTTGCAAATATGTCATTGCAGGTGTAGTCAGTTACATGAGGTCGTTAGGGTGGATTCTAATCCAATATGACTGATGTCTATATCAACAGGAGAAAGTTGAACAGAGGGACAGGTGGACATAGAGAGAAGAGGATGATATGAAGAGACATGAGGAGAAGATGGCCATCTATAATCCAAGGAGAGAGCCCTGAAACGGATCCTTCCCTCACAGCCCTTCGAAGGAACCAATCCTACTGACATCTTGAGTTTTAACTTCTAGCCCCCAGAACTGTGAGAGAATAAATTTCTGTTGTTTAATCTACCCAGTTTGTGGTACTTTGTTATGGCAGTCCTAGCAAACTAATACACCGTATCTTATGTCTTAGAAAACAGAAAAAAATCCATTCCAAATGGAGCCAAAATTTAAATTATAAAAAATACTGAAGGCCATAAAAGTAACAGAACAAAACATGAGAGAATTTTTATTAATAATTATAGGGGAGAAAAGGCCTTTCTAAGCATAATACTTAGAAATCACAGAATGTCAGAGTTCTTGAATTAGATCATAATCGAACCCCCTCATTTTATAGAAACATAATCTTAGCTTCTCTGAAATCCAACAGTTCTACTACATATACTCAATAGCCAGTAATATAATGAAATACACCAATTGAAATAGCAATATCACAGAACAAACTTAAGAAACGTGCAGGAAATATTCATGGGAGAGGGAGAAGAACATCCCACCAAGAAATTATTGACATGGCATTAAAATGAAGGACTTGGGTAAGTGTAGAGCCAGAAGGTGTTTCTGGAGGGAGAAGTAACTGTTTTAATGATGTCAGCATTATGTTCATAACAGTTGTCATCTAACAGAATCTGAATGATCTGTATTATTTTAAGCTATTTATCAGTCTTTCCTAAATATTCCATTATTATAAAACACTGCTTTCAGAATGAAAACAAATTAAATATTGTTTCAAATATCAACATTCCCTTGCTTAAAAAGCCTCCTTTGGACCCATCCTTCTGGAACATACAAATAGCCTCATCTCAATCTTATAGTTTCTCTCATCCCATCCCACATCTCATATTCAGACCATCAAGCTGCCAATCATTTAGTTTACCCTCATAACAACTCTATTAATTTTCCCATTTTATGTTTGAGAAAACTGAGGATTACAGTGCTTAACTAACCACTTGCCAGAGGTTACACACTGAATATATGATTAACTGAGCCTTTAAAGTACGTGTTCTGATTTGGTAGTTTGGGTTCTTGACCACTGTCTCCTTGCTATTGTAAACATGATCTTTTATATTTTATGACTTCAATACCATCTGTAGTCAAACTTTCCATGAAACAGCCTCCACTTTGGTTTTCCTCAAATTCTCAGCCTTCCTAAAACCACTCTGCTCTTTTTACTTTTGCAAATGCTGTTTTCCATCCTCACCCTACCTTCCTTCATGACCCAAAGTTCAATAATCTTTTAATCCTATTTCCAACTTCCTTATAAAGCTAGTTGCTTCCCCCTCTCTGCTGTAACAGTTCCTTGCACCCATATGTCAATGTTGATTTCCACTTGGTTTACCCCATTTTCCTCCCTCATTCCTCCTAGGAAAGAACCATGCCTAATCGTTCTTGAGATAGTCCTCTTTGGAGACCTGCAAATCATGTAACTGATGATGTCTGCAAGGAAGAACTGAAAAATCGGCACATCAATTCATTTAAATGGTTTCAGGCCAGGTTATCTACACATCACCTAGCAACTCTTTTTAGGATTTGATCTTTATTTTGCCTACCTTTGCCCCCATCCAAATTTTAGCTCTTTTTAACTTTTCCATTTGAATATATGAAAAACCAAGGAGGAAATTTAAAAAATTAAAAATAAAAGCAACTCACTTGGGACTTCATCCTTTCCTGCTCTCTTCTAAAAGAACAGATGCCTGCAAAAAGCAAAACAGGTGGTCAGAAGGACGTTTTCACAGACCAGACCCAGAATTCACCATCCTACAAACAACTAGGACCGGACGTTGGGTGGATGACAGGCCAACCTGTGGGAGAAGGTCATCTGGTCCTTGCAGAACGTTCAGCAAGCACCATGTGAAGGAAGTCCTCTTCTGCCCACACAGAACTCAGACAAGGGTTTGAATGTACAGAGTGAAGATGCTACATGTTGATTTACTGACAACTTACTGTCCCACCTATGAACCAGCAACCATATTTGTAAACTGTTTTCATAAGGCATACACACGGATAGATCTCTATAACGATTTAACTGCAGATGGAGATCCCTGGCAATAAGAACGGCAATGACCAAATGGAAAACTATGGAATGTATTTCTTTATTCCTTAGAAAGAACCAGCAACTGAATTCCAATTCTCTATTACTTTCCTTCAACTCGGCAAACTCTCCTGCCAATCAATATTCATGGACCTAAATGTTGATTTCAACCTGTTTTCTGTTTAAATTTTATTGGAAGGTACATACCTGGTAAATGTTTCTCAGTCCCAGTTGGAGGCGTGCAGACAGGACTGAACTGGTTCAGAGGACGTGAGCGCTCCCGTGACACGGACACTTTATCAAAACAGATCTGGAAGGAAAACCAGGAGAAAAAAATCACACCAATTTCTCGGTACCCAGCAGGTACTCATTAAATGTCTCTTGAGTAAAATATAAAATGATTTCAATAAACTTAGAAACAAGTAGGTCCAAAATCACACTTTTCATAATAATCCTATCCTTTTTGTTTGGTCTTGTTTTAAAATGGTCATTTCTGGGGGGAGTGCCAGATTAAGGGTGCAATGATGGATTTAAGAACTCAAGTGTCCTATGACCTGTGGAAATTTTAATGGATGTAAAACCTTTTCCAGTAAATTAGGGCTGATCACCATGATGCCCTGATACCATTACTGCTCCATCCAAATCGCTGAATCCTGGGGCTTAGCAATCACATTCCCCACAGAACTCCCCTATGCCCATCACATCACTGACCACCACAAGGACGCCCCCATCATTTAGTCCACAGCCCCCTCACCAATCACTGATTCCCAGAGTCCCCTAAATCACCGACCCAGTCATCCCCACCAGTGTGTCACCTTACGCGCCACTGCAGATTCCACAGACAACCCCGTCAATGACGCATCACTCCCCAATTACTAGTCTCATAGTTCACACCATCCCAGACTCGCAAATAAACGCAGCACCAATCCCACATTCCTTCTCCACCAAGACTTCTTAAAGCTCCAACCACTGACCCTCACGGACCCCTCCCTCCTCATTGCCAATCCAAGGCACTCATCACAGCAGGCATCCGCCTTCTGACCTGCGGCTCCGTTTTCAGGTCTCCAAACGCCGGTCACGGTCACGGCTCAATGCGAGGCGACTGTCACATCCATACGGATGAACTCTCCCGCTTCCTGTCTGGGCGAGCAGAGCGAGGGGCCTCGGAGCCTGCGCTGGTCGGTACAGGGCTGCTTTGATACCCCGCATCCCCAGCGGCTTTGTTCCGGAGGCAATGTGGCCGCCCGCGCGCTCTGTGTGCGACTGGGAGCCGCCCTGCTGAGGGTCCCTGCAGTTCCGTACGCGGAGGAATTCCTCATTCCCAGCTGTGGTTAGCAGCGCTGCGGCTGTGAGGAAGGAAGGGCAAGTGATGGGAAGGAGGATGATACAATCCAGTGAGGTGCAAACTTTGCAGAGAGATTTCACAGGAGTACTGGGGAATACTGACTGCTAAACCATTTGGGCAAAGAGCCCAGCAATAACTGAATGTTTAGAGACTTGCAAATCTGCTGTCCTTTTAAAGCATTCTGACACATGCACAATTCAGGTGGCAAAGAGAGGGAGCCAGACTGGCTTTAGATGCCTGATATAACTTCTGTTCGACACCCTAACTCACTTCTTTTTTTTTTTTTTTAGGGGTTGCATTGAATCTTTATTTTTATTTATTTTTTTTAATTTTATTTTTTATTACAAAGGGTATTACATATGTGTCCATTAGGACACCCTAACTCACTTCTATTTTGTGCAGGTGCAGGGGAGCCCCTTAGAGACCCTGGATTTAAAACAAAACAAAAACTAAGCAGAGAAATCGGTAATAACACTCCATGGGAGAAACAAATGTCACAGTTTGAGTCTAAGCAAGTTAAATGTTTTTATACCAAAAACAAAATCTTCAGAAGGACCAGCAGAATTCAGAGACACTACATTACAGTATATGGTCTACGATGTCGTTTTCAACCAAAGAAACAGGAAAATATGACCTAAGGAACAAAATCAGTCAATAGAGACAGACTTTAAGTGGGTGTAAATGTTATATTTAGCAAACAACGTTATTAAAGAAGCTATTATAAACATTAAATATTTAAGGGAAAATATGATAAAAGTGAATGAACAAATAGGCAATTTCAAAAGAAAGTACATAAAAGAATGAGTTGGACTATAAAGAGACAAATTATCCAATCCGAAGAACAGTAACAACAAAAAGATTATAAAAAATTAAACAAAACCTCAGTGATCTATGGAACAATATTAGGCATTCTAGCATATAAGTAATTGGCACGATAGAAAGAGGGCAAAGAAACAGGCAAAAAATGTTTGGAGAAATGTCTTTGAAATTACCAGATGTCATGAAAACCATTAATTTACACATCCAATAAACTTCAGGGAGTATACCTAGACAACTAGCCACATTACCGTGGCTAGTTCA